AGGCTCTGCAGCCCTTGGGAAGTTTGCTCTGAAGAGATGTGAGGGAGGATTTCGGTGTCACACTTGTTGCTAAGAAAGGCCAGAGGGACTAGTGATATTTTTGCCTGTTCCACTGCACGGTACAGAACTCAGAGTGTAAATTTTTACTGCTTTTACATGAAATAGAGGTATTGCAAAATTGTGTAATTAGGCCTAAGAGCCTTAATTGTGAGAAAAAGGAGAACTATGCTTCAAAGACATTATAATAGTCTGTATATTTTCCACACCCATGAGCAGGAACCATTACTCATTAGTGTATGGAAGAGAGGCTAATAAAACTCTTGAATCTTAATTGAAGTGAACAGAAAAAAACACTAATGGCTCTGAACTGCAGGGTTCTATAAACAACATTTATTCATTTATTTGCCATATTAGTTTAGAAAAGAGAGGTGAATCAATAGTAAATAGGTTGTTAGGCTGTCCTTACCTTCACAGGAGTCTTTGTGTCATTGACAATTTCGTTGCGTAGAGTGCCATTAGAAGCTGATGCATATGGAGGTGGAGATATGTTAGGGGCACCTGCTAGGATTTAAAATAAAAAGGAACTGAGAAAAGGACATTCATTAGAAAATGGCAAAAATCAGTCACCTTTCTCTGTTGCTTAGATATCAACTAACAGAAAATGCATTTCCTAATTTCCTATGGGGTGTGTAAGTGTGTCAAGAAAAGCCCGGGCTATGAAAATGTAGGAATGCATGAAGCTGTGACTGAGAGTCCTTTTGCTGTATCCATTATATGGCTTTTCATTAATATTATAAAGTCAGTGGGGTTGCAATAAGCAGAGTAACTCTGAACTTAACTCCTTTGAGAACTTCTGAGCCAGAGAGCTGAAGCTGAGGGAAAAAGAAGGTCTTAGGCAAGGGACCAGTGGAGGACTTGGATATATGTATTTAGTGACACACAATACATGTATTCTGCTAAATGTCCTTACCATATGGAAAAATAATGTGTATGTTTGATTTTGCCCTTGCAGTCCTTGGTTCTTGACCATGTCACAGGATGACACTGGCCTATTAAGACGGAAGAATCAAGTACACTTGCATCTTGTCAGCTTCTCCCCAACTGACTTAAAACTGACTTGGGCCTAGCAAGGAGACAGCAGCAGGTGAGGGTTTTCTAGGCACAAGAAGAGTGTAGAAGGTGCCTAAAGCTCCTCTAAAGGCAGGAGAGCAGTAGAGCAATTTGCTGTCTAACCTTTCCGAGACAGGGCCTGAGAGCTCAAGGCCAGGTAGCAGCAGAGCTGTACGCTAACTTGTATGCCAAAGAGCTCAAGCTAAAGGCCAAAGAGGGCTTAAGGCAAGGGAGCAGCAGAGAAACTTGTCTGCTGATGTTTCTGAACTGGAGGTAGGAGACCAGGAGATGGGTCTATTTTTTGGTTGGTCTTGCTGTCTAACCTTTCCGAGACAGGGCCTGAGAGCTCAAGGCCAGGTAGCAGCAGAGCTGTACGCTAACTTGTATGCCAAAGAGCTCAAGCTAAAGGCCAAAGAGGGCTTAAGGCAAGGGAGCAGCAGAGAAACTTGTCTGCTGATGTTTCTGAACTGGAGGTAGGAGACCAGGAGATGGGTCTATTTTTTGGTTGGTCTGGAATCT